TTTATAATTTTATATAATTATTTGGAATCATGGCCCTCATGTCCGTACTGAAGAATAGTTGGATAAAACTGAATATGAGTTCCAGATACTGACCTAGTCTGAAGAAAGTTTGTTCATCAAGTACAACAATGCCATGATCATTGGTTGAAAGTACCAGATGTCACCTAGCCTTTTATGCTTCAAAAGTTTCCATCTTAAACATCATCTGTTTACAAGTTGCGCATCAGTGGTTTTACTTACAACAAAATCTCTGTATTACAGCAGCAGAAAACATACTAAAACTGTCAGAACTTGTCTAAAGATCATTAACGCATGTTTTTCCTTGAGTTTTGTGATCATGACAATCACTTAGGGCGTCTTCGCCAAACCATCTGCCAGAAGTCATTTCACGTTGTTTGATCATGGGGCCCTGAGTGGGCAATGATTGCTTTCTCCTTGCCACTGTAGCCCCTGAAGTTGGAGTTAAAGAGGAAAAAATATTGAAGTTTTAGAGTCACGGTTTGCAGTTGAAAGCTTAGGGTAAGCATCTTCAGAACAAAAAGAGCTTGGCTAGGTCTAAAAGCATCACATATTCCAGCAGCTTCATTGATTTTCTAGTCGTTCACCAATACAGTATGGGTGTATTTCCAGCAAATCTACTGTGTGTTTGGTGTGAGAGTTACAATGGCTCGTTCTCACCAGAACTGTGGGTTTTTGATATGAAAAGCCCTGTAACTGTTATACGAGAGACCATAGTCAGGACTTCACAGTAAGGGAAGATTCATGTGTGAAGACTACAGCAATGCTTAATATGACTATGACTAAATGCACAAAACTGCTTTGCTAGTATCAAGTCGAAAAATGAAGTCACAGTTTTCAAATAGTTTACAGTCTCAACATGCCTTTACCAGAAAAAAAAATTACTATTTTATTTACTTACCCTAATATTAATTCTGCATTGAATGGTGGTGCTCAGAGTGAATCAGTTGTAATTTTTGTGGTTTCAAACACACTCTGCTGAAGGGATCTAATGGAAGAAAACAAGAGAATATATTAACAACTCTTACTCTTTTAAAATTCCCAAGAACACATAACCGCAAGCTAGCACACCTGTTGCTTCTACACTGATTCACGTGTCCAATGCTTAGTCTTCAGTGCAATGTGTACATCCATCTCTTTGATTCCTTTGGGCCCATCTTGACTCCCATTTCGACATAAGTCTTGATCACAAGACTGGAGAAGATGATGGAGGTTTATACTTCATTTGGCCATTTTCATGGGTTTTTGGGTTCTTCACCCCATCTCTTCATTTAGGCCCTTCTCTTCTTTGGGATTTGGATTTTGTCCAAGTCTCCCCTACTCTATGACTTTCTCTTATCTATTCAATATAAATCATGCTTGACCTTTCCATAAGCTTCATGTTCACTATGACACCTCATCCAGACCCTTCGATCCCACCGGCGTGTCTCGCTGCACCAGCTTTGACATTCTTTGCCTAAGTCCCTTGTTAATCACCAAAAGGTTGAGATTGGTCATTATGTGCCTACACTGGTGGTTCCGTTGTATGGAATCGAAAGTGAGACGCAAGGGAAAGAGGCATAATTGCAGAGATAAACATGATATTCATTTTCGTGAGTTCTCTTTCTGTTTATAAAATTCACAACAACAACATACTGATTATCTAGCAGATGCTCAGAACTGTTCTCGGTCTTTACAAGAAATTTACATTATTTAATTTCTTCAATGTAATTTAAAAGTTTCCTAATAGTGGGTTACATTCTTCCCTTTTTTTTCTAATTGGAAACTGAGACAAGGAGTTAAATATGTCACTGGAGCAGTACATAGCCTGGACAGTAAGTAATGGGTCAGGCGCAGAACCATATGGTCTGCTGGAGAGGATATCTTTAGATACCAATATGATTATTCTCCTTCCTTAATGCAGATGAGCCACATAGTCTTTACAACTTGCAACATATTATATCTGAATGGTCCTTAGTTTCGTTTTTAAATAAAAGCAAATTCAATACTTTTTCATTGCTACTTTTCTCAGTGGAGGATAGTGTATAAATTGGAGTGCATATCAGGCCACGCCTTTTGCTCCTAATGTCTATATCCTTCCAGCTAACAGGCAATGAGTAATCCTTCTGGCTTGGGACTAACACCGGTTTCTTGACATTCCCGGCCAAGCTGAGAAACCAACCAGAACATGAAGGTAGGGAGAACATTAGGGAAGAGAAGTTTTCACAGAATGATACGAGTGAGATTTAGAGATAATTAAGATGTAACAAGGGTTGGTACAACCAATGTATATTTTTAAAATTAGCTTTATGTAAGTTTTATCAAAGATGATAAGAATCCTAATTAGTTTTTAGAAAAAGCTAACTAGCTCATAAGAATAAGGTGTGCAAAAATTAGCAATAAATTCTTTGATAGTCTTTTTCTAAAGAAAAGGTGAAGACCAAGTCACTTCATTTAAATGTGGGCAGAAATTACTAACTCACTTCTAATAAATAGGAATAACAAAATGAGAGTGTGATTTGGTCATAAAAGATATTCCAGCTTCCCTCTTCATTCTCCTTCTTGGGTTGTTTTGCTTGGGAGTATCTTGAGGCTTACTCAAGCAGCCAAAGAGAGGCTCAACGTGGAAAGGAGCTGAGGCTTCTATCCACAGCCATCCTAGTGAACCTTTTGGAAACAGATCCTCAGGGTCAATCAGGCCTTCATTGACTATGTCCTTGGTCAGCCTCTCAACTGAAATTCCATGATAATGACCCTGAGCCAGAACCACCCAACCAAGCCTGAACACAGAGAAACTGTGATATATGAATGTTTACTGTTTTAAGCCACTAAATATTAGGGTAATTTTTTATACAGCAATAAAATAGTAATATGAGGACCAATAATGAAGCAGTTAACAAACACTGGAGTCATTGTTGTTGCACTTATTGTGGCTTAATGTATGGCAAGAAACAGAGCAGGCCAACAGTTTGTATGAATTTTGTCAATCAACAATGATCTATTGGCATCACCAATAGAACACCTGCAGTGATCACATTGGACCAGACAGGCCCTAAATCAATATAATACTGATTTCTTTCTTCCTTTTTTTTTTTTCAGTACTGGGATTTGAACTCAGGGGCCACTCTCTGAGCCTTTTACCAGCCATTTTTTATTAAGGGTTTTTCGAGATAGGATCTCACATACTATTTGCCCTGGTTGGCTTCGAACAGTGATCCTGATCTCTGCCTCCTAAGGAGCTAGGATTATAGGTGTGAGCTACTGTACCTGGCTAACCCAAACTCTTTACTTAGCAGATTCTTACTACCTTTTCCAAGGCTCATCATAGTCAGTTTCCACATAACTTAGCTCCACAGATCTCGGCAATCTCCCCCAACCATTCCGTGTTCTCATAGATTCTCCAATTGCTTCCTCTGTGTTCTCTGTATGGCAAGCTTCCGTAGTCTTCGGGGATCAGTAGATAGAATGTCTTTTTTGCACCTCCTGACTTCCCAGGCAGAATGAGGCATCCACTTTGCTTGGGCTCTTGAGTTTTATGTTAAATAAATACTTCTTATAATTTTGAAGTGCATAAATTTCTGCCTGCCCTCAATGGACTGTGGCAAGACCCTGTAGGGCAGGGGCTGGATTTAATTAATTTTTATTTTTTTATTTTTTTGAGACAGGGTCTCTCTATTTTTACAGGCTGGCCTTTCAACTCACTATGTAGGCCAGGCTGGTTTTGAACTCTCTCATTCTCTCTCAACCTCCCAAAGTGCTGGAATTATAGACATGTGCCCCATATCCAGCTAATTCACTTTTGTTGGCTTTTACTATTACTATTTGGCATGTGGTTCATAGAGAATTGAATATTAAAAATCAATTTCTATTAGTAATAGTTAAAACATTGCTTTGACTTGCTAGATTTTCTTTTCATAGTAAAGAGGACAAGAAAACTTCATCTTTTTTGTTATGCACTGATTATTAGAAGTTCCAAAAAATGCCTTTAAGACACTCAGTCTTGAAAAGAGGCCCACTTCCTTCAAGTTTTTTACAAGCCTGTGATGTACATGATTTACTGGGAACTCTATAAACTGCTTAAAGTGGTTCCCTGACAAGCTAAATGAAAATTTATGTTTAGTAATTTATAAGTTCCAAGTATTTTGAAGCTTCCAAGTGCCTTTTTATTTAAAATTTTTTCTTTTTAGTTTTAAATCAAGAATATGAGATATAATTGAGTAGCTAAAAATGTAGATTCCAACCAAAGCCTTTTAAATACATTAACTTGGATTGATTAAAAAAATTAATGCAATTTTACCATTATCATCATTTTGTATCACTACTGTTATAATTTTATCAATGTTATGCATTTACATATACACATTAGTCAAATTCACTATAATTTTTTCTGAAGAAATATGTCTGAGTTGTTAGGTAATATATTTAATGTAACATTTATGATATATCTGGGAAGTATCAATAATGACTATAAATATTATGTGAATACTATTTATCCTTTCTTCTGCTCTGCCCTTTTAATTTCTCTCTTCTTCTCTTTCTCTCTTTCTTTGGTGGGACTGAGGTTTGAACACAGGGCTTCATGCTAAAGCAGGAACTCTACCACTTGAGCCACACCTCTTGCCCACTTTGCTCTGGTTGTTTTGGAAATGGGAGGATTCTCACAAGTTATTTGTTGGGGTTGGCCTTGAACTATGATCCTCCAGATCTCTGCCTCCCAAGTAGCTAGGATTACAGGCATGAGTCATCAGTGCCTGGCTCTCTTTCTTTTCTCCTTCTTATTCTTCCCTCCCTTTCTCATTTCCCTTAATTCCTTCCTCCTTGTCTCTTTTGTCTCCTCCTTCTTTTTGTTCCTTTCAACATTATTGGAGCTAATTATGGATTTGTTCCACCAAATCTACATTTATGAAATTTTCCCAGCCTGATCTCCCTAAAATACCTGCTGAAATCTTAAGTTTTCTGTTTAACAGATAAAAATGATATCAGATCCTGACATTTTGGTTGACACCAAATCAGATTTTGTCAAAAGCTTTTGTGTGCTTAAGATTTTCCCTCCAGGAAGGTTATTAAGGTTAGGAGTCAAGAGAAGTGATTAGATGGGGAAAAGTGTATCTCTGATAGTGATAGGTAAAGCTGGGGATGAGAAGAATGGAATGGGTTTCATAGGCTAGGATGGACAAGAAGGGCAGGAATTGGCTATACCTTCAAGGCAAATCAAGAATCAACTTCAAATTCAACGCAAAAGAGAGAGGACTCCAGGCCTCCAATAAACCCGTCACTAGCCACATGCAGCTAATTAAATTTCAGTTAACGTAAACAAAATGAAATTTAGAGAGCAGCTGCACAGTTGAAATAGTTTCAAGTGCTCAAGCACCCCACATGTTTCATGGCAGATATGCAGGATATCTACCATCATTGTTGAGTGCTGAACTCAGCAGTGCAGCATGGTGGTCACATGGAAACTCATTTTAAGAACAACATGAGAAATAGAAGAGAAAAATAAGACTCATGAGTACTCTGCTCTTGAAACCTGTGAACCCTTCTCTATAGAAAAGGTATTTTTATTTTCTGGTATTTATTCTAGGGTTAATGATTGAGCCAGCATCATTAAATAGGGAGGGAAATGAGAAATTAGTATTTTTTTTTTTTTACTATGAGTTGGAAGTTGCTACTCATTTTGTCTATACAATCATTTAATTTTCCCAATAGTTTTGTGGGATAGTATTATTATCACTGTTTTTTTTAGGGATGAAGAAAGGCATGATAAAGGAAGAATAAGTAGTATGCAGCAATTGTGAATGTTTTTGTCAGAGTAGGAAATACTCTTAAGTTTTGTACAATTTGAGCTATGCTTCCAGTAATTTTTGCTTTTTGTTATTTTTCAGCTAGGGTCTCAAGTTTTTGCCCAGGCTGGCCTCAGATCACCAACCTCTTATCTATGCTTCCTGCTTAGCTGGGATTACATATGTGCTTTCTTGAGTTGGGGATCTTGCTAACTTTTGCCCAGGCTAGCCTCAAGCTGCTGGACTTTTGATTTCTACCTCCTGTGCCTGGTCTTTATGTGGACATATTTTTATCACTAATATTGTTTTGCTGCTAGATAATTTGATTCAAACTTCATTTTAGCATTTTTATCTCCTATTTAGGACATTCTGATCTAAACTGACATTCTCCTCAGAGAAGCAGTTAAATTTAATTGACTCTTGGTTATCGATAGGTCTGCTGCAAAACATTCCTTAAATTATATAGCCTTACTATTATATACAAGCTGGGAAAGTTTTTTTAATTTTTCTATTTTTTGAGACAGAATTTTGCTAAATAGCCCAGGCTGGCCTGGAACTCTCTAGGTAGCCTGTGTTGGCCTTGAACCTATTATCCTTCTGTATCCACCTCCCAAGTACTGGGATTACAGGTGCATGCCACCACAGGTAAGCATTTAAACCTAAGAGGAATTTATTATGTGTTAAGACAATAAAACACATTATACTATTTAAAATCTTGATAATTTGCTAATCATCAATTTATGTAAATAAATAAACTGTAAAGAACAGCTTTGTGTTCATTCCCATCTTTTCTGATAATTTTCAACCAATAGTGTGATTTTTCCAAACAGTATTCCCTAATTATATTTTGTGCAACAGGGGTGGGTGGGGTCTTCAGGCTATAGATATTTTTCAACAGAAAATCCATCATTTGCAACATGAGTTGTCAGCACAGGTGTCCTGGTTCCAGCAGTCCACCCAGTTCTGGGAATGGAAAAGCTGACAAAGGACTATGAACCAGTTGTCTGATATCATCTGGGCAGGAAGTAGAGCAGGCTGAACTTTGAAATAATCCTAATAATTTCTAAGTCCTTCTAAAATTAGATGATATGTAATAATTTTAACAGATGCATGTGCTCAGATTACTTTGTATTTGGTGTCTTTTAGATAAAAATTTTAGGAAGGAGAGAGAGGGAGAAGGAGAGAGATGGAGAGTAAGAGAAGGAGGAAGGGAGAGAGAGAGAGAATGAGAATTCTTATATAGAACTCTTTTACTCTCTTCACCATTTGTAGCCACACAATATCTTTCAACAGCAACTATATCTTAATAAAATAGATTTAGCTATATAGACTAATTTAAAAATATGTTACAGTGGAGTGACTTTAGCAATACATTTCCAGTTCCACTAGGAGGAGGAGCTGGCAGACACTATTAAAACCAATTCCTGAAGGTTCAATTTTAGTGTATTGCTATTACCACAAATATGGAGAATTTATTTGCTATCTTATGAGTGAACTGATGGAATTAATACTATTTCAATGCCAATACTTTAAAAAGTTTTTCTGGCTTCATCTTTCCAGAGCTATATAGCCAAGAGATGTTTATGGATGTGGTCAAAACCCCAACTATATCTGTTTGTTTAGTGATAGAACTTGCTCCCTCTTCTCACAAAAATTTTTTGCCTGCGTGAGGCAGAATTCATTACTTATCCTCTCTGTAGTCCCATACCACTTAGCCCTTGCTCTATTCTGGCTCTTATGACACCAAACACTGTCATTTATACATATCTCCTCTCTAGTCCATGACCTCCTTGATATAGCAGACTGTTTCTTATTCTTTACTGGTCCCTGGTTTAACACTGATAAATTTTGTGGAGCTAAATTTAGGGTTTTTTTTCTTTTTTTCAGTACTGGGGTTTGAACTCAGGGCTTTATGCTTGGAAGGCAGGTGCTGTACCACTTGAGCCACATTTCTAGTTCACTAAGTTTGGTCTTAATGTAACTTACAGTGGTGTTTCTCGAAGTGTTTTGATATCAGTTGAGTAAGTGTGAGATGGGACTCAACTTCTCCTCTTCCTTTTTCTTGCATGTAGACATCAAGTTGTGTTTACACTGAATTATTTGACACTTGTTATAAAAGTCAACTGACTATAACATGTGGCAAAATAAAGTTTTAGAACCACATATCTACTGGAATTGTGTGCTAATCATTGTGATAAAAGCAATACAAGAAAAGTCACTAATTTCAGATAATTCTAATGGTTTTTAGTCTTGATATGTGACTGTAACTCCAAACTTGGCATGTATGTGGGTGGTGTGAGTTTAGGAAATGGTTAAGCAGAGGTGAATGGAGAAGGCTTGACTTGTGCTTTACAATGGAAATTATTATTATTATTATTATTTGCGATGCTGTGACTTGAACTCACCTTAAGCCACTCCACCAGCCCTTTTTTGTGAAGGGTTTTTTTCGAGATAGGGTCTTGAAACTTGCCCGGGTTGGCTTTGAACCGTGATCCTTCTGATCTCTGCCTCCTGAGTTGCTAGGATAACAGGCATGAGCCACTGGTGCCCGGCTACAATGCAAATTATTAAATCAAGAAACTTACTTGGCAAAATAGTCTTATATCGATTTTTAGTTCCATGACGTGGAATGTCAATTTCTTTGGGATCCACAAAATTCATTGGTATTTCCTGCAAAAATAAATCATATCAAATTAGTGTACCTCATGCTGACACAAAGAAAATCTTCATAGGGGGCCATTTGATCTATGTGGTAATGGACTTCAAAGTCATTTATAAAACAACAGACTACCACCTCTGGCTGACCAACACCCTTCCTTTCATAAACATGTGGGCTGCACCCTGTCAAGCTGACTTCTAAGAAGTAGTATTATTTTGTGTGTAATTGTTAGAGAACATAAAACACTTGCTCAGATTTTAAGAATCTTGTTGTGACATAATTGCTGGAATTACACAGACAGTTGATAAAATAGATTTTTAAAACAATGTATTATAGTGTATATACATGTGAGTAAATGTTAATACAATAAAAATTTAAAAAGTATTTAAATTTTCCTCAAAGTCTTTATGTAAGTTCAGCACCAAAAATCTCACTATGATGGATTCTTTTTTTTTTTAAACATTAATTGTGATTCTTTTGGGATAATTAAAATCTCCCTCCCAAAGTGGTGAACATACAAGGATTTTTGTTGATTTAAGTGATGGTGATATACATTTTTTTGTGTGATAAGAGATGGTTTATTGGATTGTTTTAGTTGTGGTTGTAAATGAAATACTTTTGGTGAAGGGGATACAAACACTTTTCCTCCACTTAACAAGAATATAAATTCTTCTTGCAGACAGAACTGAGATAAAGGAGAATGATGGAGGGGGTGAATTCAACTATGATATATTGTAAGAACTTTTGTAAATATCACAATGTACCCTCAGTACAACAATAATATGATAAAAAAGAAAATAAATTCTTACTTAGTAAAAGTACATGTTACCACAGCTCAAATAGTTGAAGAGAAAAAAATGAGCATAGAAGTGGCGCTATGCGAACTGGAGGTGTGGCTCGAGCTTTGCAAGCATAAATCCCTGAGTTCAAACCCGAGTCACACCAAAAAAAAAAAGCGAATCTATGTAAAATCATTACACCTAAAAAGGTAAGCATCTTTAGCTGACTGAAACAATAAGCAAGAATTTCCAAAAGGACACAGTAAATATTTTAAGATTTGGTTGTACAACATAAAAAATTTCATATACACATATAGCCACATATAGGTTTGAACTCAGGGCCTACACCTCTAGCCACTCCACCAGCCCTTTTTTGTGAGGGTTTTTTTTCGAGATAGGGTCTCAAGAACTATTTGCCTGGGCTGGCTTTGAAACGCAATCTTTCTGATCTCTGCCTCCTGAGTAGCTAGGATTATAGGTGTAAGTCACCTGGCTTATTGGTGTACATTAATTGTACAGAACAATGGGTTTTATTATGATACTGTCATATATGTATCTAACATGTTTTGATCATATTAACCTCCTACTTTCATTACTTAACTTTGTCCAATGGAAAATGTAACTCAATAGTCTAATATTCATTAAAATAAAAGAAATCATCATGATTAATTCAAATTGAACTAGTTTCCTGTCAATCTGACAACTTGAGAAAAGTCAAACTATATAATGAATTTGAGAGTTGGTCTACAGAGAAAAGTAATTACCTTTTAAAATCATTTCATTAAATTTAATTAACTTAGATATTTATAGTATTCTCTACTCTACCTAATGTTTTAAATGTTGCCAAAATAACCAGAATTATTGAATGTTCCATAGAAAAAACATGTTCACGTTAGATAATTTGAAACAGGATCGTCTGTTTTGGCGAAGCCACAAAGTAGGTAATATTTTTATCCCTTCCCTTCTCTTTCACTTTATCTATTCTTTTCTGACACACACTGATAAACTATCATGATCTGGCACTGTTTCTCTCCTGGATCTTCCTTGTTGGCCTCATCTTTCCTTTTAGGGAGGTGGGTATGCTAAAGGCTTATTTCATAAATAAAGACCTATTGGTTATTCTAAAAAAAGAATACTGGTTATGCCTCTGTATGATCATTGGCCAGTTTTTTTAATCCCATTTTTCATATATAAAAAGATGACAGACTAGTTTTAATCTAATTTTTAAAACTTCATGTTTGTGTTTTACTTTTGACAATAGTAGTAGATCTTTTGTCATTAGCTTGGTTATAAATATCTCAACTAGCCATAGGGTGATCAGTGTACTAAACTCCACCAACATGGCTTAAGATGTACAATTGATCAGATAATGAATTTGACTGTTCAACTGCTGAATGATACAGACATGAACTAAAACTTTGATTCTGACAGAGCTGAAAAAAATGTACAATTGATTTCAGATACAAAGCAATTTATCAAATGAATGTTCTCTTTGGGTAGCAGTTAGACCTAAGAAAGGCTAGCCTGACTCTTTGTTCTCTGGGTGTACATATCTTGTCATACATGGAGCTATCACCAGCAATACTGATAGTCTAAAGTGGCACTCACTATCATTTGTAATCCACATTTGGTCTTCCTCCTGTTTTCCTTTTTTCACTCAAAAGCACCATATGCATCTTGATCCTCAAGTCAAAAACTAGGTATTGCCTGTGATTTCTCCATTACTTTTGATTGACTGATCCAGTGAGGCCTACTTCTTGTAGACATAGATTCTCTCCATTTTCATTTTCCGTATCCTAGTGTAGACCGCCTACCTAATTCCACAGGATTATCTCTAGAGTCTCTAAAGTGCCCCCTTCTAAGGAACATTTCCATTTCAGATAGTGATCTTTCTAAAACACATGACTAAGTCCATACTCTTAAGTACATATTTAGACTTGTGTTTTAAAAGACTCAACTTTTGCTGCTTTCCACAGTGACTTCAATGCTCAAGTTAAACCAAATGATTTAATTTCCCAAATAGGGACAGCAAGACTATTTCTTAATCCTGAAATGCCACCCTCTCTGGCTGGCTCCTTTGTGCCACTGTGTTCTGGGCAGCTCTTACGTATTCAACCTCAATTTAGCTATTGCATTGTAGTTTGAACACTTAATGAACAGTTGTCATGACAGAGGGGGATCTAAAACCATTGCATTTTACTTTTTGAACTGTAACCATTTGTGGATTGTAAGCTACTTGAGTATAGGGCTGTGTCATTTCCATATGATACTGAAAACAAATAACAAATAGCAGGCTCACCATGAATTCACTTTGGAGTAAATGTGAACTTGCCACGACGTCCCTCAGCTGTGATCTCGTGAGAATTCTACTGGCTGACTGCAGGTACTCCATGGCTACCTTTTCCCGGGGTGTTGGTATAGCCACAAAGGGTTCCACATTCCCCAAGCTACTCATGTCCAGTGTAAGAGACACATTGGATCCTCGTCTACATGGGAAAAGAATGTTTAGATCTAAACAGCACATGAATTATTTTGATCACACAAATTGATCTTTCTGTACATGCATACAATTCAGTAAGCTCTTCAGAGTAATATATTTTTTCTTTTGGTACTTCGATTGACTATAGAAATTATCCATAGTTCCTTTATAGGAAATTGATAATTTATTGTTGGAGATTACTCTATTGAGAACATGCATTATAATTTGTTAATAAGTATACTCGTTACATAAATAATAGGATGCCTAATAATATAAGTGAAAAATTTATGAAAAGTGAACACATTTAAACTGAGAAACCAGATGTAATACAAACAACTTTTATTTATACATATATCTGAGAGTTAAGTATATAAAAAATAGTCACCTAATGTTTTAGCCATTGCATATGCATACATATTTCAAAACACTATGTCTGTACCATAAATAAATACAATTTTAGTTTTAATTTGTCAGCTAAAGCATAATGAAAACTTAAAAATAGCAATACCTATTTTAGTTCAAATTATTGCCATAGCTTAAAAATTTTAAATGTTTCTATGCATATCCTACTATATATATTGTGACTTCTTGGTGAATCCTTAAAAGATGGAGATCACAGACATGTAGACAGAGTTTCATTTTAAACATGAAAAAGTTTGAGAATAAACAACCAATAAAGCTATTGAACAAAAATTTTTTTTTTTTTTTTTTCTATTTATTTTTTTATTTTCTATTTTACTTCTATTTTTGTTTATTTTCTTTTTTTTTTTTTTTTTCTTTTATTATTCATATGTGCATACAAGGCTTGGTTCATTTCTCCCCCTGCCCCCACCCCTCCCTTACCACCCACTCCCCCCCTCCCCTCCCCCCCAATACCCAGCAGAAACTATTTTGCCCTTATCTCTAATTTTGTTGTAGAGAGAGTATAAGCAATAATAGGAAGGAACAAGGGTTTTTGCTGGTTGAGATAAGGATAGCTATACAGGGCATTGACTCACATTGATTTCCTGTGCGTGGGTGTTACCTTCTAGGTTAATTCTTTTTGATCTAACCTTTTCTCTAGTTCCTGGTCCCCTTTTCCTATTGGCCTCAGTTGCTTTAAGGTATCTGCTTTAGTTTCTCTGCATTAAGGGCAACAAATGCTAGCTAGTTTTTTAGGTGTCTTACCTATCCTCACCCCTCCCTTGTGTGCTCTCGCTTTATCATGTGCTCATAGTCCAATCCCCTTGTTGTGTTTGCCCTTGATCTAATGTCCACATATGAGGGAGAACATACGATTTTTGGTCTTTTGGCCAGGCTAACCTCACTCAGAATGATGTTCTCCAATTCCATCCATTTACCAGCGAATGATAACATTTCGTTCTTCTTCATGGCTGCATAAAATTCCATTGTGTATAGATACCACATTTTCTTAATCCATTCGTCAGTGCTGGGGCATCTTGGCTGTTTCCATAACTTGGCTATTGTGAATAGTGCCGCAATAAACATGGATGTGCAGGTGCCTCTGGAGTAACAGTCTTTTGGGTATATCCCCAAGAGTGGTATTGCTGGATCAAATGGTAGATCGATGTCCAGCTTTTTAAGTAGCCTCCAAATTTTTTTCCAGAGTGGTTGTACTAGTTACATTCCCACCAACAGTGTAAGAGGGTTCCTTTTTCCCCGCATCCTCGCCAACACCTGTTGTTGGGTGTTGCTGATGATGGCTATTCTAACAGGGGTGAGGTGGAATCTTAGTGTGGTTTTAATTTGCATTTCCTTTATTGCTAGAGATGGTGAGCATTTTTTCATGTGTTTTTGGCCATTTGAATTTCTTCTTTTGAGAAAGTTCTGTTTAGTTCACTTGCCCATTTCTTTATTGGTTCATTAGTTTTGGGAGAATTTAGTTTTTTAAGTTCCCTGTATATTCTGGTTATCAGTCCTTTGTCTGATGTATAGTTGGCAAATATTTTCTCCCACTCTGTGGGTGTTCTCTTCAGTTTAGAGACCATTTCTTTTGATGAACAGAAGCTTTTTAGTTTTATGAGGTCCCATTTATCTATGCTATCTCTTAGTTGCTGTGCTGCTGGGGTTTCATTGAGAAAGTTCTTACCTATACCTACTAACTCCAGAGTATTTCCTACTCTTTCTTGTATCAACTTAAGAGTTTGGGGTCTGATATTAAGATCCTTGATCCATTTTGAGTTAATCTTGGTATAGGGTGATATACATGGATCTAGTTTCAGTTTTTTGCAGACTGCTAACCAGTTTTCCCAGCAGTTTTTGTTGAAGAGGCTGCTATTTCTCCATCGTATATTTTTAGCTCCTTTGTCAAAGATAAGTTGCTTATAGTTGTGTGGCTTCATATCTGGTCCTCTATTCTGTTCCACTGGTCTTCATGTCTGTTTTTGTGCCAGTACCATGCTGTTTTTATTGTTATTGCTTTGTAATATAGTTTGAAGTCAGGTATTGTGATACCTCCTGCATTGTTCTTTTGACTGAGTATTGCCTTGGCTATTCGTGGCCTCTTGTGTTTCCATATAAATTTAACAGTAGATTTTTCAATCTCTTTAATGAATGTCATTGGAATTTTGATGGGAATTGCATTAAACATGTAGATTACTTTGGGAGTATCGACATTTTTACTATGTTGATTCTACCAATCCATGAGCATGGGAGATCTCTCCACTTTCTATAGTCTTCCTCAATCTCTTTCTTCAGAAGTGTATAGTTTTCCTTGTAGAGGTCTTTCACATCTTTTGTTAGGTTTACACCTAGGTATTTGATTTTTTTGAGGCTATTGTAAATGGAATTGTTTTCATACATTCTTTTTCAGTTTGCTCATTGTTAGTGTATAGAAATGCTAATGATTTTTCTATGTTGATTTTATATCCTGCTACCTTGCTATAGCTATTGATGATGTCTAGAAGCTTCTGAGTAGAGTTTTTTGGGTCTTTAAGGTATAGGATCATGTCGTCTGCAAATAGGGATATTTTGACAGTTTCTTTACCTATTTGTATTCCTTTTATTCCTTCTTCTTGCCTAATTGCTCTGGCTAGGAATTCCAGTACTATGTTGAATAGGAGTGGAGATAGTGGGCATCCTTGTCTGGTTCCTGATTTTAGAGGGAATGGTTTATTTTTCTCCGTTAAGTATAATGCTGGCTGTAGGTTTGTCATATATAGCTTTTATAATGTTGAGGAACTTTCCTTCTATTCCTAGTTTTCTTAGAGCTTTTATCATGAAATGATGTTGGATCTTATCAAAGGCTTTTTCTGCATCTATTGAGATGATCAAGTGGTTTTTGTCTTTGCTTCTGTTAATGTGGTTTATTACGTTTATTGATTTTCGTATGTTGAACCACCCCTGCATCCCTGGGATGAAGCCTACTGGTCGTGGTGAATAATCTTTTTGATGTGTTGCTGAATTCGTTTGCCATTATTTTGTTGAGGATTTTTGCATCAATGTTCATTAAGGAGATTGGCCTATAGTTCTCCTTTTTGGAGGTGTCTTTGCCTGGTTTTGGGATAAGTGTAATACTGGCTTCATAAAATGTGTTTGGCAGTTTTCCTTCCCTTTCTATTTCATGGAACAGTTTAAGGAGGGTTGGTATCAGTTCTTCTTTAAAGGTCTGATAGAATTCAGCAGAGAATCCATCAGGTCCTGGACTTTTCTTTTTGGGGAGACTCTTGATTGCTGCTTCAATTTCATTTTGTGTTATAGGTCTATTCAGGTGATTAATTTCCTCTTGGTTCAGTTTTGGATGATCATATGTATCTAGAAATCTGTCCATTTCTTTTAGATTTTCAAATTTATTTGAATATAGGTTCTCAAAGTAGTCTTTGATGATTTCCTGGACTTCCATGGTGTTTGTTGTTATCTCCCCTTTTGCATTCCTGATTCTACTAATTTGGGTTTTTTCTCTCCTCATTTTAGTCAGGTTTGCCAGGGGTCTATCGATCTTGTTTATTTTTTCAAAGAACCAACTTTTTGTTTCATTAATTCTTTGTATGGTTTTTTTGGTTTCTTTTGTTGATTTCAGCTCTTATTTTTATTATTTCTCTCCTTCTATTTGTTTTGGGATTTGCTTGTTCTTGTTTTTCTAGGAGTTTGAGATGTATCATTAGGTCATTGATTTGGGATCTTTCAATCTTTTTAATATATGCACTCATGGCTATAAACTTTCCTCTCAAGACTGCCTTAGCTGTGTCCCATAGGTTCCGGTAGGTTGTGTTTTCATTTTCATTGACTTCCAGGAACTTTTTAATTTCCTCTTTTATTGCATCGATGATCCATTCTTCATTAAGTAATGAGTTATTTAGTTTCCAGCTGTTTGCATGTTTTTTGTCTTTACTTTTGTTGTTGAGTTCTACTTTTACTGCATTGTGGTCAGATAGTATGCATGGTATTATTTCTATTTTCTTATATTTGCTGAGGCTTGCTTTGTGCCCTAGGATATGATCTATTTTGGAGAAGGTTCCATGGGCTGCTGAGAAGAATGTATATTGTGTAGAGGTTGGATGAAATGTTCTGTAGACATCTACTAGGTCCACTTGATCTATTGCATATTTTAGATCTTGGATTTCTTTATTGAGTTTTTGTTTGGATGACCTATCTATTGATGATAATGGAGTGTTAAAGTCTCCCACAACCACTGTGTTGGCGTTTATATATGCTTTTAGGTCTTTCAGGGTATGTTTGATGAAATTGGGTGCGTTGACATTGGGTGCATACAGATTGATGATTATTATTTCCTTTTGGTCTATTTCCCCTTTTATTAGTATGGAATGTCCTTCTTTATCTCGTTTGATCAATGTAGGTTTGAAGTCTACTTTGTCAGAGATAAGTATTGCTACTCCTGCTTGTTTTCGGGGCCATTGGCTTGGTAAATCTTCTTCCAGCCTTTCATCCTAAGCATATGCTTATTTCTGTCGGTGAGATGAGTCTCCTGTAAGCAACAAATTGTTGGATCTTCTTTTTTAATCCATTTTGTCAAACGGTGTCTTTTGATGGGTGAATTAAGTCCATTAA